GCCCGCCACAACGCCCGGCTATTTTTTGGTTGCAGCCGTCATTGTTGTTTGGCGGGTCCGGGCTGGGGATCCGAACCCGCCACCTTAGGTGTACGTGGCTGGCGCCTTAGCCGGTTGAGCTATAGGCGCCGAGCCTACAATTCTGTTTTTTAATGGTCATAAATATCCTCTAAGACATGTATAAAATCATGACTATTTTATAGAAGGGGAAATAAAGCCACTGAGAGATTAATTAATTAAATGTCAGTCTTGCTGCAGAGTCCATTGTTTCCACCACTATACTCTATTACCTATAGTGCCAGATCATAGGCACCTTGGAATCCTATAGCAGATATAATCTAAACATACAAATTACTAAAGAGTGCAAGTCAAAGATCTGGAGGGAAGTAATCGAGAGGGAGAAGTATGTCCTCCCACTAAGCGTCAAGGTGGATGTGTAAATACACAGGCCCAGAAATTTTTTCATCTGAGATGCTTCCTTGTCCTGTCCTCTGCAGCCAAAGTTGCAGGGTTCGTGCTCACAGGGTTGGGCCTCTTCTGTGTCTTCTCATTTCTTAGAAAAGAGATGAATTCCAGACTAGGGAAAACAAGGGAGGGTTTGGTCTTCGTCTCCACTCCCCTAATATTCACCCCATCTCTCTAGAAGGACAAAGAGAAAGTGGAAAGTGGTCATGGCAGACCCGTGGATTCTTGTGAATCCACATATGGGCAATAAAACTCTACCAAAGTTTCTCTCAGGGCTTGCCCTTGAAATGGGGGTGAGGAGGAAGTGTAGTAATTGGAGAGGGTAGGGGAGGAGAAGGGATGAGAAAGAAACATAGAAGTGAACAGTGGCAATGTGGGCTCTTCTAATCTTTTTTTTTTTTTTTTAAGTCATGGAGGTACAACAACCATACGCCTTCCCCATGTGTCATCCATAGACTTGACCACATTGTGATGACAGTAAAGAACATTAAAGATACCACCATGTTTTATTCCAAGATCCTGGGCATGGAGGTCACAATTTTCAAGGTAACCACTTCCCCAAATGCCAAACTGCAGGTGGACTAAACCTTGAATATAACACTTTAAAATATAACTTAACTCCGAAAACAAAAACACAGGAAATCTGGAAGAAAAGATTAAAGGATAAAATGAAGGAGATTCCAAACTCTGAATTATGGGGCTTCCAGAGAGAAAATGGAGAAAAAGTAAGGGAGAAAATTATCATAGAAATGATGCAAAAGGCGTGGCTCACACATATAATCTTAGCACTCTGGGACGCTGAGGCAGGTGGATTGCAGGAGCTCATGAGTTTGAGACCAGCCTGAGCTCTGGTCTCTGTCTCTACTAAAAATAGAAAAACTGAGGCAAAAGGATCACTTGAGTCCAATAACTTGAGGTTGCTATGAGCTCATAGCCACAGCACTCTAGTCAGGGTGCTAGAGTGAAACTTTGTCTCAAAGGAAAAAAAAAAAAGAAATAATTCAAAAGAACTTTGCAGTCCTTATGTGGAAAGGGTTAAGTGAGTATCCAGCACAATGACACTTAGATATATCCTTATGAAATTATAGAGCATCAAACTGAAAAAGTAGATCTTAAGAGCTTTCATAAGAGATTAAAAAGTAGTTCATCAGCTTGGGGCCTGTGGCTTAAGCGGCTAAGACACCAGCCACATACACCTAAGGTGGC